TTACAACTTATATCTTATCTATGTATGTTATTTCACATGTATTGGTGGGTTACCAGCATTATTCGCTAACCGGGCGTCGTCCCATGTTTTATTGTGTTCTTTCAGGTGATGTCTAGACGAGTGCGCGGTCAAGTGCTTGCTAGTATAGCTTCTCCCTCTTTGTTTTGTGGCCTGTGTGCCAGTTTAGATGTAGCACTTTGAGACTATGGATTAGATGTAAACATTGCAGATGTTGCCGTAGCGTTCATCCTTTTGGTGAATGTGGCATAACACCCCGTGTTTTGGATTTATGTTTATCTAGTTATCTTTTAGTCTTCCGCTGTGTTTGTTGTTTAGTTCAGTTATCTGCATGTTTAAGGCTTTTAAATAGCATGTTTTTAGGGGGTGTTACAGTTGGTATCAGAGCCTAGGTTTGAGCCTAGGATGTTAAGTGTTGGACCTTAAGAACCTAAGTTGAGCTTAGGTTAGTGTTGTAAGTTGAGACCTTAAGATGTTTAGTGAAGCCTCTAAGTGTTTACGTACCTATGTTTAGGATTCTTAGGACGCGCGGTGTGGTTGTGTGTTACCTTCTTGTTATATGTGTAGTTCTTTTATCTTGTTCTGTTGTTAGCTCAAGTAGTTGTAGCTGTTGTTCTCAGTTGGTGTGAACCTTCTTGGTAAGTCGCCTCGTTCTGGGTTCGTTGAAGTTTTGACGAAGACCGTGTCCAAGAGTAAGAAGACCGAAGATCTGCTGATGCAAGATAGTCAAGTCGTGGTGGTTACAGCTGGGCACGTGGTCAACACAAAGAAGATGGTCTGCTATGCACGAAATCGAGAGTCAGCTACAACAATCTCCGTTCAAGCAAGTGGCGCCGTTTTTCGTACGACATCGTCATCAGTTCTACGCTAATCCTAGAGTTGAAGTTTACTTTTCGTGCAACCGTAGTCCGTTATGAAGTAAGTCGTCGTTTAGAGTTCGAAGATCAAGTTTAGAAGACCCTCACTCGTGAGGGGTGGCCAAGAGCGGTCCCAGACGCTCTAAGAAGATGTCAATATACGCCAAGTAGCCGCTTTCGGATCAACGTGTTTGAAGCCTCCCAGAGTTAAAGGGTTATGAGTCAACCTCGGACAGTTCTGAGCATGAAGAGTTGAAGTGTAATATCGAAGTGTTCAACATGGAAGTAGTCCTACCTACCTTCAAGAGAAACCAAGATCGGGAAAGTTCGAAGCAAAGAACTTGGAAGTAACAAAGCTCAAGATGGCCTTACAAGAAAGCTTAGACCTTCAAGGTACCTAGAAGGGACGAACATCGTTGATTGTCAAGTCGCCTGATCTTGTGAAACGTGAAGAAGTTAAGTAGTGGTTGGTGAATGAGGGTACCGTTTATCCCAATCGGCACACTTGGAAAGTTATGGGTAACATGATGTCTTTTGGTTAGGAGGTTCGACAACAAAGAAAAAATGAAGCCATAACCGAGTTGCAATCAAACGTTGGGGGCAGTTAGAAGACTAGAACCGACAAGAGCGAAGCAAAGACAGATTTGATCACCGAGTGTTCCTAAGTTGCAAGTGGGGCTCTATGCCGATGATCCCTGTTAAGAGATCTACCTAAAACCAGGATGGAACGAGAAGTAGCTAATCTTGAATGGGAAGTTCGAACAGTAAAAGGAAGGGCAGTCAGAGATCAACCTACAGACCGATTCTACCGTTGGACCTTCATAAGTAGGTCATGCTCGTGTGGCAACAAAGTGTTCAGGGAAGACTTACCGTTAGTCAAGACAAGAAAAGACCGAGTGGTTTTAACCGACTACCTTATGAAGATTGCAAGATTGTCAACGGTGAACAAGACTCGACCTACGGAGCTCCTAGTAAGGATATGAGCAAATCTTTGGACAAGGAACCATGTAACGACTCCAAATGTTGACTATGGTAAAGGCTACAGTTTACAAAAAGTTCTACCGTTTGCGTTTGGTTTAAGGTTGCAGTGAGCTCTACGATTCAACCAGCTTCAGATGGTTAACGGGAAAAGGATCATACCGATCAAGAAGGCAAGTCGGAGACTTGCGCTATAGATTTATGAAGACCGTGGGTTGTGCTCTAACGATGGACCAAGTTTCCTTTCAGTGGTGGTTGGTGTCAAGCATTCAAAGGACTCCTTACAAGATTTTGGTGAGATTTAGAATGCCAACGGTCACGATGCTAAGGAAGGTATAAGGATCACGCAGGTGCTTAGATCTCAACGATCTTCAGGTGCATTAAAGAAGAAGGTTTGGTTTGTAAATCACCGAAGTCCTGAGATGAGAAAATCAGACAATCGAGTGCGCTTCAAGAAAGAGGAAAGTAGTGGTCAGTGCTTCGACCGATCTTGAGTCAGCTAGAACGGACAACAAGCCGAATCTCTAAGAAGATCAAGGAAGATTGCTAAGAGTTTCGTTTCTAAAGCAATGATGAAGACCGATAAGGGAAGCAAGTCAACTCGCAGTTGCCTAGTCCGTGTGAGTTCCGCTCGACCATAACAAAGTTAAAGAAACAACCAGTGTTTGAAGAAGGGTTTGGGGTGAAGATGTTTGTGATCTCAGCTTATGAAGAGGGTCCGAAATAGATCTTAGCGTTAGAACGCGTCAGAATCAAGGTTGGGAACCTTCAGTTCGTCAAAAGTGCAGTGATCGAAGCGTCAAGTCGAAGAAGTCGCCTGAAGTTGAGAGTCCTTAACCCTCTTTGAGCCGTTTTCCCTTCCTTTTTTCTCGTCAAATCTTCTGCCTTCTCGTAAAATCCGTCCTATCTCTTCGAGCCTCGTTCTTGTTTCCTCCTTAATTTGATTCTGTACAGGGTGACAACCTCGTTTTCCTAAGTTGTAACCTTGAAAATCTCGAATTCCTTCTTAATCTACGCTATCCTTGAGCCTAAATCTAGTGCCTTTCATTAGGAAATCCTTTCAATTCTTTCAAATCTCGTCCTTAATCCTTCATTTCAAACGATTCTGTGCAAGGTGGCAACCTTATTTCCTAAGTTGCAACTTTGATGACTTTGATCCTAATCCTAATTGACGTTGTCTCAAGTTTGGAACCCAAACTCTCATTCCCTTTTCCTTACCAACCATCGTGTCCTTAAGTTTAAAATCTAAACCCTACATCCACTCTAACCTATCGAACCCAATCTTCCCTAACCTTATATATAATTTTGCCCGTAAAATATTTTCCCTAATATAAATTACCGTATTGTTGTGACACTCTTATCCCCAAAATGATTTTTTCTAGCTTCGGGGACAAAGCTTCTTTTAAGGGGGTGAGGATGTGACACCCCGTATTTTCCTAAAATAAATTATAGTCCCGATAATAAATATTTTAATAAAAATATTTATATAGCTATTTATATTAAAAACGGGCTCGGGTCTACCTATTATGCTGAACCAATATTTTTGTACAAAATATGCCTAGACCCAAAATGGTTTTAATTCCAAAAAGCCTATTAATTGTTTTTGAGCCCAAACATATGTGTAACCTATAAGTCAGTAATTTTGGACCCATCACCTACACCAAGCCCTTATAATGTATATATATACATATATGTGTTATTATTATTTTGAGAGCCCAAAATAATATGTATTTTCTATCAAGCCCTAAATCTATCTAAACCCAAGCCCAACCTAGAAAGATAACCCTACCATCTCTCGTGTGTGTGTATGCATTGTATCATCTATAATCCAAGCAGCCGAGTTCTTAGCTCAAGCACCTCCTCTCCCTATTGGCTTTGTCAAGAACGAACCAAACAACCTCATTTCCTTCTTCCTTCTTCGACAAGCTGTAGCAGCCAAGCAACCCCACCTCTTCGTCTCTCTCTCTCGGTTTAAAGCTGCAACCAACATCAAGCCATCCCATCCTCCCCCTTCTCCTTAGCTCTTCTCGTGACCTCTTGTAGAAGTGTAGAGCATCTTCGGCAAGACCGGCAGCCCTGTTTTCCCCTCCCTTTTGATCATCAGCGACAAGCCACAAGAGGAGCTTCGGCCAAGCAGCATCGGTAGAAGATGGGGACAACGGCAGTGCATTGATTGAAGCTCCGGCCTTTTCCTCTGTTTCCGGTGAAGAAGCAAAGCAGCGGTGGACGTCGGAATCTTGAGACGGTGGAGGCAGTTTTGCGTTGCGATGCTTCTCCCTCCTATCTCCGGCAAGCTGTGCGTCGACGGTGTTGATGATGGATGATCGGGGTTCTCTGTTTCCGGCAAAGCAGAGCTGCTCGGCGGCGTGGGAGGCCTTCCGCCGTGCTACGAGTCTCCGGCGAAGCAGAGCAGGCGCGGGTGGAGGGTGAACCCGTGTTCCACCCGCGGGATGGTGAGCATGTAGAACGAAGAAGAAGATGGCGGATGGTGAGCTCTTACCTTGTTTACCTTGCTTGTTTAGTGTTAAGTAGGTTGTTGTTTAATTAAGTTATTAATAGGTAGCTGTAATACCCGGTTTTTCTTCCTTCCGATTTAATACTTTTCTTTCTTCATTCTTTTAAATCCTTTGGTCCTAAACCCATTTGATTCCTTATAGCCTCACTATTATTATTATTATTATTATTATTATTATTATTATTATTATTATTAATTATTATTATTGTTATTATTATTAATGATTAATTATTGATAATAAAAGTATATATTATTTTTTTTTTGTACAAAATCAAGTGGCGTAATACATATATTATTATTTCGAAAAATATATATATATTTTCTTCATTATATATATGTAGTATACGTATGTATGTATACTACTTGGGTACAAATAATTTTGCATACCAATATATATGTTACCGTGTATATATGTAGGTATATCTATCCAATATATTTTTTTTTTATATTAATCAAAAAGATTATTTTTTTAATGTGTTGGGATGTGATTAGGAGTTACATAAGTTACAAAAGTTAATGTTAATCAATCATAAATTATATTATTATTAGAATTAATGATTAATGATCAATGATGAGAGGAGATAACTCCCTTCTTATTCTTTTTCTCTCCCTCTTGGCCGATCATCATTTCATCAAGGAGAACAAAAATTTCCCTTGCTTCTTCTTTCTTCCCCATTCGGCAATTAAAAAAAAAAAAAAACAAACTTCTTCCATTTCTTTCCTTCAAGAATTGAAGTGGTTCCTTCCAGCTTAGTAAGACTTCTAAGTTTATTAATTTTATTTTATGAGTAGAATGGAAATAGGGTTGTAATATTTTTTTATGCGCTTATTGTGTTTATTATTGGATGATGATCATGGTCGATAGAAGAGGAGGATTTGAACAATCCAGGCTTAGAGTAATTGAGGACAATAAGCTTTCAAGGTAAGATTTATGTTTATCCAAAATTTATTTACCCCAAAGAAAATCATTTTTACTAAGAGTTTATGTGACTCATGATCCTTGTGAAAAATTATGTTTAATATCTGAATTATTTGTAATAGATAAAAATATGTTTGTATGGGATAATTCGTATGCGTATTGTATGTACATCTATTCGATTATTCGTAAATAGATAAGCATAGTTAGTGTACTGTGTTGTAAATATGAAAACATTAAGTTTGATATTTATGATGTGGGTTCATGCAAACATTAAAAAGTTGAGGTATGTATCTGCATATGTTAACTTTGGAAAATATAAGTTGATGTTTTTGTGGATTCTGTGCAAACTTGTATACATTATTTGTATATATTTGGTGAATAGACACATGCACGCAGTTTACTATATCGTATGGTAAAGGATAATTAAGTATACAGTTTCTTATATTGTATGTTCGTAAAGATTTTGTATATTTTGTGAATATTTGGTACATGGTATGTTAAGTGGTGTAATTAGAATAGTACTATCCATATATATATATATATATATATATATATATATATATATATATATATTCAAGTATGGTGGAGAGAACAAATTAATTGGTATTAAATTTATATTATAATTCACTTTGGTTATGGAGGATTTGTACCCGGATTTTCTTGTGAGTTTGGTCTCTCATGTTTGATGGTGGATTATTATTATATATCGGTGTGGGCCGGGTAGTTAATCCCACGATTGATTATGGATGTGGAGTCTACTTTACATGCCGGTGTGGGCCGGGTAGTTAATCCCACAGACTCCTCGAGTTCGTTCTGCCCATTGGTGTAGGTCTCCCATTGGGGGTATGCATACTTAAGGAATTGATCTCGGACCAACTGTGTGGGTCTCTGGTTGGTTTTTTTTTTGTCACTGGGGCCGAAGTAATGGCTCTTGCCTGGTATTTTTCCCTCCTCATTGACTTGGTGGTAAACAATGGATAAATATGAAAATGTCATAATATATTTATGATTGATGGAAATTGGTGGTAAATAAACGGTTAAATCTTATCCTATTATTGATAAAAGTGGTGAAACGTGGAGGTTGTGGAATTTTATGTGAAGTTAAATGATTATATAGCAAATTCTGGAATGTTATCTAGAATTATAAATTATATTTATTATATGATTGATTTGGTAATTGGTGATTAAATGTGGAGTAGTGTGATGAATTAATCTAAGGATAATATAACTAAGGGGTTAACGTGGAATTATGTGCTCCAAAGTGTTACATGTTATGTGCAAATATTTTACGGGGTGGAGTAAGTCTTATCCGCTGTTGTATGCTGAATTTGTCCCCTGCTTAGTTTCTTTTGCAGGTACACCTTGCATGACATTGGGAGCATGAGAGCGATTTATCCTTTAGAGATTTGGAGTTTTATTTTGTTAGAAAATTTAGAAGTTGTACCTAGACAATTGTATTATTTGAGTTATTAGACTAGTCTTAGTTTTTGGTTGTTTTTGGTAGTGTTGGTTTTAGCCTGTGCGTTTAGATATAGCTTGTATTGAAACGTGGCGGTAGCATCCCTTTTTCCTTGTTTTGTTTAGCTTCCGCAAGTAAATAACGAAATTTTAATCTAAGAAATGCCTTGTTATAAATTAATTTGGTTTTGGAAAATGGGGGTGTTATAGTAGCTTAGTCTAGTGGTAAGATGGGTGGTTGTGTTAGTGTTTGGCTAAGGTTTGAACCTTACTTAGCTCATATTAGTTAATTAATGGTTTTACTATTAAGTCTTGGTTAATTAACTAATCTATTATGGCCCGTTTGGTTCACGGAATAGGCCGGGAATGGCATAGCATTCCCAGTAATAGGCCTATTCCTTTGTTTGGTAACCATTTCTATTACCAGGAATAATATTCCTGGTAATAGCCTATTACCTCAAATAAGGTAATAGCTAATAGCTATTACTAGGGCCCCCCTGGTATTAGCCTATTACTGAACGCTCAGGAATAGATTTTAGAATCTATTTCCTTTTTTACCCCTTTCTTTAACCTAATTTTTTTTATCCTATATATAAATTTATCCTATTTCACCACCACCACCATCACCGCCGCTGCCACCACCATCACCATCGCCGCCGCCGCCGCCCCACCACTACCACCCCAGCACCAACACCGCCACCACCACGATCACCACCACCGCCACCACCATCACCGCCACCAAAACCACCACCCAGCACCACCACCACCACCACCGCCACAACCGTCGCCGCCACCACCACCGCCACCAGAACCACCACCCAGCAGCACCACCGCCACCACCACCGCCACAATCGTCGCCACCACCACCACCACCGCCACAACCGTCGCCGCCCCCACCACCACTACCACAACCGTCACCGTCAACCGTCACCACCACCACCGTCGCCCCCACCACTGCCACCGCTACCACCACCACCACCACCGCCACCACCACTATCACCACCACACCACCATCGCCACCACCACCACCGCCACCACCACCACCGCCACCACCACCACCGCCACAACCGTCGCCGCCCCACCACCACTACCACAACCGTCACCGTCAACCGTCAGCACCACCACCGTCGCCCCCACCACTGCCACCGCCACCACCACCACTACCACCCCAGCACCACCACCACCACCACCATCACCACCACCACCATCGCCACCACCACCGCCACCACCACCACCATCGCCACCATCACATATTTTTATAAGGGTATTTATGACTTTAAAATATATTTCATTTCTATTCCTTAAATCAACCAAACACTGTAATATAATTCCTAAAGTCTATTCCTTCCGCGAACCAAACAACAGAATACAATTCCTATTATATTCCTTGCCTATTCCATTCCTTATGGAATAACATTCCTATTACCTCAAAATTCATTCCGTGAACCAAACGTGCTGTTAGTGTTTAATGTTGTGATTAAGTTTCCAATAGAACACCTAGCCTAGATGGTTAATTAGACTTGGTGGGTAATTTAGGGAAAGATTGGAGTTTGAATCCCATTGTAAGTTTAATTAGTTTTAATTAGTACGTTTGTTAATAGTTGAAGGATCGATTTGATTCATAGGTTCCCATTTGGCTTATGAGTTGAGCCTAGCCTAAGTTGGCGTTGGTTTTGGTTGGATAAGCGAATGAGGTAACCCATGCTCTACAAAATCTATTTTGCTTACCTATTTGATGATTCTTGGATTCTACATGTGATTTTGCTATGAAATGTGAGTGTTTATGCATTGTCTTGTGGAAATGCATATCTGGAGCTTGTGTTTAGGGTTCATTTGTGCCATCGCTTGGCATTTCCTTTTATTCAAGTCATTTTGTTGTATTTGGTGAGATTTGGCATGTTTTGGACTTGAATTTGAGTTTGGAGATGAAAATCTGTGAAGTGTTGTATTGTGGTACAGGGATGTACCCGCGGGCGGAACGGCGGGTAGGCGTCCAACCCGCCGCCCACCCGCGGGGTACATTGGTCGGGCAGCCTGTACCCTCGGGCGGAACCGCGGGTAGAGGCCTACCCGTGGGCCTACCCGCGGGTATGTATTGTGGTGATGGCGGGGATTTGTTTCCCGTGATTCTTTTGACTTGGTATTTAGTCTTTGGACTTCCCGTTGTTCTTTTGTGGAACTATTTGAGTGTCTTCTTGATGTTTCGTATGTCTAGAACTATGTGGTAGGAATCCCTGTAGGTTTTGGTGTCGTGAATCGTGCTAAGTATTCAACATTGTGTTTCGTTGAACCGTGATGAGTCTTGTGTGTTCTTCGGAACTACCTTTGGTTTACCCGTTTGATGAGCATGCTAGTTCGGTGTTTAAATGCTAGCGTGCGTGTTGTTTGTACCTTCTTATTGGTTGAAGATAACTTGTGTTATTCATCGTTGTTGGTGTTGGGTTGTGACCCATTCCTTGATTGAGTATTGTGTCATATCTTCGTTGTGATCCGTTGATTGATTCCTGTTGTGGTGTGATGTGTGTGTGGCTTTACCAGGATTGCAGGATTAGTGGTATGGGACACTAATCACCAAGGTATTGCAGCGGTCCTCGTGGTGGTCGTGGCGTGATTATGGAGTTTGTGACCTGAGTGATGGGTTCACGTGATTCTTGGGTGGCATGTGTTGCCGTGTGTGTGTACGGTACCCTCGTTTACTATGAAATTGGTGGTCTCGTTGGTGGTCGTTGGTGGGGGACGACGGTCCCAGGAGGGAAAAGGTTGGACTAAGAAGTTCAGGGGTCCTGGAGGTAATGGTTGGAAGAAGATACAAGGTTGGGGGTAGCCATAAGGTTGGAACCGGGCATATGGAAGGCATATCAACTCGTGATGGGTGATGTCACGAGGGTTTGTGTAGCCGCTGTTGTGAGTTCTCTTCTTGTGACGTGTGTAGTCACAAGGGCATGTGTTGCCTAGGCATGTGTTGCCATCGGTCTTGTCTTTATCCTTTGTGTTGTGGTTATCCTTTGTGGTTTTGGGATGTGTTCCCGTATCCTTGTTGAGTGTGTTGAGTCTTGTGTTGACTATTGCTCTTGGTTTTGTACTTATATACTTATGTATTCCGTTTCGAAAATGGCTTTACAACTTATATCTTATCTATGTATGTTATTTCACATGTATTGGTGGGTTACCAGCATTATTCGCTGACCGGGCGTCGTCCCATGTTTTATTGTGTTCTTTCAGGTGATGTCTAGACGAGTACGCGGTCTTGTGCTTGCTAGTATAGCTTCTCCCTCTTTGTTTTGTAGCCTGTGTGCCAGTTTAGATGTAGCACTTTGAGACTATGGATTAGATGTAAACATTGCAGATGTTGCCGTAGCGTTCATCCTTTTGGTGAACGTGGCATAACATCCCGTGCTTTGGATTTATGTTTATCTAGTTATCTTTCAGTCTTCTGCTGTATTTTTTGTTTAGCTCTGTTATCTACATGTTTAAGGCTTTTAAATAGCATGTTTTTAGGGGGTGTTTCATACGCGCTCGTGGGCGAGGAGGCATCGCAAACTTCTACAACAACAACACGGTTACCAAAAAGACAACAAACAAGCAAATAACTGAAAGCAACACTCAGCTCACCGCGCCACCTAGAGTCCTAAACCTAACACTTAGATTCTTAAGGTCACTTTAGGGTCTCAAACCACACTTAGCCACTTAGAAGTCTAGAATTTATCCTCCTAGGCTCAAACCTAGGCTCTGATACCAACTGTAACACCCCCTGATTTTCCAAGCTAATTAAAACCTTAAATATGCAGATACCTAAACAAAACATCAAACACAGCGGAAAACTGAAAAAGGAATATATAAACTGGAAGTAAAAGGGGTGCTATGCCACGCTACGCTCATCCAGAGATGAACGCACATGCTAACATCTGCATATTTCAACATCTAAAACCATACATGTTCAAAGTACTAAGTCTAAACTGGGCTCACAGGCCACCAAACACAAGAAAGGAGCTACACTAGCTGGCACTAAACCGCGCTCTCATCTAAACATCACCTGAAAGAAATACATAAAAGATGGGACGACGCCCGGTCTGCGAATAATGCTGGTAACCCACCAATACATGTGAAATATCATACATAGATAAGATATATGTTTGTAAAGTCATTTGCGAAACGGAATACATATATATAAGTTCAAAACCAAGAGCAAAGGTCAACACAAGACTCAAAGCACTCACAACAAGATAAGAGAACACATCCCAAGACCACAAAGGACAACAACAACTCACAAGGACGGCTCAAGGTATAAACTATCATCACACAATAGATTAACACCCAACATGCACAACTCAAAAGAATAAGGACACAACCAATGGCAACACATGCCTAGGCAACACATGCCTTTGTGACAACACATGTCACAAGAAGAGAACTCACAACAACGGCTACACAAACCTTCGTGACATCACCCATCACGAATTGATATGCCTTCCTTATTCCTAGTTCCAACCTTATGGCTACCACCAACCTTATATCTAGTTCCAAAATTTACCTCCAGGACCCCTGTACACCAAGTCCAACCTTATTCCTCCGGGAACCATCGTTCCCCGTCCAACAGTCCCTCCAACAGAACCACCAATTTCATAGTACACGAGGGTACCGATCACACACACGGCAACACATGCCACCCAAGAAATACTTGAACCTTACACAAAGGTCACAACTCCATAATCACGTCATGGCCACCACGATAACCACTGCAATACCTTGGTGACTAGTGTCCCATACCTCTAATCGTGCAATCCAGGTAAAGCCACACACACATCACACCTCAACAGGAATCAATCAACGGATCACAACGAAGATATGAAACCATACTCAATCAAGGAATGGATCACAGTCCAACAACAACAACGATGAATAACACAAGTTATCATCAACCAATAAGAAGGTACAAACAACACTAGTGGTCAGTTCCATGGAAACATCTATCGTGTGGTTTAGCAACACCCATGGAAACATCATTTCCAACGTTGCTGCCATCAACTGGCATCTCAGAATGTGCAACAACGTTGCCGTTCCTACCATTAGAATGTGCACCATGAGCAACATTCGTGGATCCAACACTTTTGGAATCCATCGATTTGTTCATTATAAAAAATAA